AGATTCAAAGCCATTACCCCCTCTAATTTTTAGACCAAAAGAGTATTGGGATTATGCTACAAGTGTGAAGAGAAGTACACTAGGGATCATATTTACAAGAATAGAATGCTCAATTTCATCCTGGTTGATGAGGAGAAAGAAGAAGTGGTAGAAGAACCACCTGGAGATGAATAAGAGCATGGTAGTAGAGGTGGAATGGATGAATTAATGGAAATTTCTCTCTGTGCATTGATGGGCAGTAACAGGGGTAAGACCATCAGATTACCAAGGCTGATTAAAGAAAAAAGAGTGTCAATCCTAATAGATAGTGGTAGTACCCATAGCTTCATTGATGAGTAATTGGTTAGTAGCATCAATTGCAGCATTCAAACATCCAAACCTGCCTCCGTAACTGTAGCGGGAGGATGTAAATTGATCAGCAAACTATTTGCAACCCATTGTCTTGGAAGATGAAAGACTTGGAATTCCAATACTAGCTAAAGGTTCTCAAATTAGAAGGAAGTGACATGGTACTAGGAGTAGACTGGCTAAGTCAATTTAGCCCAATATTGTTTGATTTCATTAAAGGCTGTATTACACTTAACCATAGTGGAGTCAGATGGAAACTTCAGGATGAAACTAATAAAGAGGGATTCCAAGTGTTGAACATTCATGAAGGGAAGGGATGGAGTAATAATCAAACTTATGGGATAATGGCACAAATTTCAGCCATTACAGAGGAGAAAGAAGGAGCCACCCCATTAGAACTGGAGGATGTGGTGAAGCAATTTCCTATGGTGTTTATGGAACCAAAGGGGTTACCCCCACCCAAATTTAATGACCATCACATTTCTCCAAAGGAGGGGTACAGCCATACAGATTCCCCTATATACAGAAGACAGAAATAGAGGAGATGGTCAGGGAAATGAAGGAAAATGGCATCATACAACCAAGTAATAGCCCTTATGCTTCACCTGTACTGTTGGTCAAAAAAAAGGGTAGTACATGGAGATTTCATGTGTACTATGGACAACTTAATAACCTCACAATTAAGGACAAATATCCTATGCCACTAATAGATGAATTACTGGATGAGTTGAAAGGAGCCAAGTGGTTCACAAAGATTGACTTGAGGGCTTGCAACCATCAGATTAGAGTGGCCACTGAGGATGTCCACAAAATAGCCTTTAAGACTCATGAGGGTCTATATGAGTTCAGAGTAATGCCATTCGGATTGACAAATGCCCCAGCCACTTTCCAATATCTGATGAATGAGGTATTTAAACAACATCTCAGGAAGTTCATTTTGGTATTTTTTGATGACATTTTGGTGTATAGCACAGACCTAGATTCCCACTATAAGCATGTGTCTGTGGTACTGGAAATCCTCAAGCAACATCAACTTTATGCCAAGGAAAGTAAATGCTCATTTGGGCAGTCCCAAATCGAATACTTAGGCCACATTATTTCTACAGAAGGGGTGTCAGCTGGCCCTTCTAAAATTACAGAAATGTAAGAGTGGCCCACACCAGTTAATGTCAAGCAACTTAGGGGATTTCTTAGGCTGACACGATATTACAGGAAATTTGTAAAGGGGTATGGAGTTATTACCAAACCTCTAACTGGTTAACTGAAGCAAGATATCTTCCAATGGAGTGAAGGGGCTAAGGAAGCATTCAAAGAATTGAAGAAAGTTATGAGCACCACACCAATCCTAGCTTTACCAGATTTCTCTATACCATTTGTTATAGAGACTGATACTTGTTATGGTGGATTGGGAGCTGTCTTAATGCAAAATAAGTGACCTATTGCTTACCTGAGTAAAGGCATTTATAGCAGGAATTTGGACCTGTCAATTTATGAAAAATAGCTACTGGCACTAATAACTGCAGTGGGGAAGTGGAGACATTATTTAGAAGGACACCACTTCATTATCAAACCTGATCACCAATCCCTTAAGTATCTTTTGGAGTAAAGGATCACCACCCCATTGCAACAAAAGTGGCTATTGAAATTATTGGGGCTCAGTTACGAAATTCAATACAAAAGGGGCATTGTCAATAAGGTGGCAGATGCCTTATCCAGAAGAGAATTAGGCTGCCTAGCTATTACTGTTGTGACACCTCAGTGGGTAGAAGAAGTGACAACCAGTTATGAAGGAGACGAGTCTGCTAAAGACAAAATTAATGCCCTATTACTAGATAGCCAGGCAGACCCAGATTACTAGTATGTGAATGGCTTGCTCAAATATAAATCCAGAATTTACATCAGGATTGGAGGAGAAGTGAGGAAGAAACTGATTGCAGCCATTCATGCCTCCAAGGAAGGTGGAAATTCAGGTGTTCAGGCTAGCATTCACAGGGCAAAATAATGCTTCTTTAGGCCGGGAATGAGCAAGGAAATCAAGTAAGAGGTCTTAGAATGTGATACTTGTCAGAGGTGTAAGAATGAACATGTGGCTTACCCAGGCCTTTTACAACCCTTATAACCCTTACTAAAACCACAATATGCGTGGAGTCATATCTCTATGGATTTCATCGAAGGATTACTTACTTCTAATTCTAATAATGTGATATTGGTGGTGGTGGACAGGTTCACTGAGTATGCACACTTCCTGACCTTAGCTCACCCATTCACAACCTCTTCTATTGCTAAGTTATTCTTCGATCACATCTATAAATTGCATGGAATACCACAAAGCATTATAACTAACAGGGATAGAGTATTTACCAGTGACTTTTGGCAGAGTCTGTTCAAGCAATTGGGGGTCAAACTACAGTTGAGTACATCATATCATCCCCAAACCGACGGCCAAATAGAGAGGTTAAATCAGTGTCTAGAAATGTACCTTCGGTGTATGGCCTATAAACAGCCTAAACAATGGAGCAACTGGATCAATTTGGCAGAATGGTGGTATAATACCACCCTACATACAGTCATCAAAATGACCCCATTTAAGGCAATATACGGTCTTAAGCCTCCTCAGTTAGCTTTGGGCCCATATCAGCAGACCAACATTGCAGCAGTGAAGGAGATTCTCCAGGAAAGACACAGAATAGACCAATTGTTAAGGGAGAATTTGGCTCAAGCTAGGGCTAGAATGAAACATTATGCTAATCGAAATAGAAGTGAAAGGAAATTTCAGGTGGGTGACTGGGTTTATCTGAAATTACATCCATAAGCTCAACAAACGCTGGCTAGAAGATCTAACAACAAACTATCCATAGGGTATTATGGCCCTTACCAAATAATTCAAAAAATTGGCCCATTGGCTTACAAACTAGAAATGTCTGCTACTGTCCACATCCACCCAGTTTTTCATGTCTCCTTACTCAAAAAGAAGATTGGGGAAAGGGAGTTCCTGCTCGAACACTTCCAATTCTGAACTAGAATTTTGGGGAACATACTCAACCACTACGGGTACTATATGTGCGAATGGTTAATAAAAAAGGAGTAGCTATAACCCAATGGTTAGTTCATTGGAAAGGCTCCAACCCGGATGAAGGAACTTGGGCTGATGCAGAGAATATACAGGCTTCTTTTCCATCCTTTCAACCTTGGGGACAAGTTGAAGCTAAGGGGGAGTGATGTTATGGTGGAGGAGCTCATCAGTTGAAGTGGGGAACAAAGGGCAAGAGGAACACCAGGAACCAAGCTGCTGCTGCCGGTAAGATGAAGTTCTGCTGGAGAGATGGACTTCTACCACCAAATTCAAATCAGAATCAAAACGACACCGTTTTGGGTTAAAAGGAAATGGTGTCGTTTGAGCCAGGGAGTTTAATTGTAATTGGAACATGTTTCTTTACCTTGCAAGATTAATAATGCGAATTTTATCTATTATAACGAGATGAGGAAGAGATGATTGCGTGTGATGTTGTTAGTGTGAATTTTCCCTCTCAATTTCTTGTCTGTCTTCTCTCTTCCTCTCATCCTTCTTATTTCTTTTCTTAATTGCTTTGTATTTTACTATCGAGTTGTGATTTTGCCCAATTAATAGAATTATAGTCCGTGTCATTGAATCCTAGCTGGTTTTCCTCAGTTGTTTGTGTTAATTCTAGTATAATCTGTAGTTTTGAGTTGAAGTTGAGCTCCAACCATAACAAAAAGTTACGTTAATTGAATTTTTAGGGTTTATGGAAAAATTTCGAGGTTTAGCAAGAATTAAAGGTTATTGACATGTATTTGGGTATTAAATAAGAATATATTAAAGAGATGTGTATTGGGAAATTGGTGTTGAATAAAGTAAAACTTTGGTAATATATTTGTCAATTAGAGACTTATTCTCTAATTTTCTTGTGTTTATATGATATTAAACACATGATTATGATTTATCAGAGTTGGACAAGGATTTAAGGCTTAATTTTACTTATTCTACCTTATTCTTTCCCAATTTTGGCAGATTTCTACAAGGTGCTGTTTTTAAAACTCTCCCCAGAAAGTGCTGTTTTTGTCAACGGGTTTGGAGACAGATTTCAATATATAGACAATGGTGCCAGATCTCAATATTCTGGAAATATAGTGTTTTCTTGGATATTTTAGTATGGAAACCAAATAAAGTGTTTAATATTAAACGCTAACCAACCAAACAAAGATAAGGAAAATTGGGGTTGATTATAAAATTCTTATTAATGAAGTTGGCTTTCCTCCCAATACAAATTGATACTCAGATTCATTTTTGTTTGTCCTTACATATTATTTTAGATTTACAGGTGATGTTAGCAATTATTTTCTTACGATTTTCTTAACAAATCTAAACACAACTATTAACCATTCAATGATGTTGAACTAATAATCGAAAATAATAAAAGTTATCTCACTTTTTTTCATTTCTTAGTAAAACAAACAATGAAAAAGTTCAATTAAATAGAAAAGAAATAGTGAAATTCAAATCTGAAAATAGAAATAATTGAAGAAAAACACACAAACACCGAGAGAAACTTATACATGTCATGGTCCTCGCGGATATATAAATAAAACATTTAGAGATAATTGAACTGGGAAACAAATCACATTCCCCTTTATTAATACAGATAATTGAAAATCATTTCATACTTTTTTGATTGAATATGCATACTACCACAAAGATAAGGATTTCCCTGATAGCTACCTTCATCAAAAGTTCCAAACTGACGTTTCTCTGGTATCATACATGTTAAATTGTTATGTGCCACACTGAAGACTTCCAAAGCATTTAACTTGATCAGTCCAGTGGGGATCCTCCCACCTAAGTTGTTATAGGAGAGATCTAAGCTTTCGATTTGACGTAGGTTTGAGAATGTTTCTGGAATTGTTCCAAAAAAATAGTTGTGGGGCAATTTGATCTCACTCAAATTTCCAAGGCCATCCGGAATTTCTCCATGGAATTTATTAGAAGAGAGATCAATTCCTGACATGTAATCGAGGATGCTACCTTTGTAAGAATAAGAATTTCTCTTTGTCGTGAATGTTGCTATAATTATTATATCAAGTAAGTTGAAAGTTCCAATTCCATGGAAAGACACGTGATAGGCCCTCTCTAGCTCAATCTTATCCATGTAAGAACTGAATGTTTGAGATGAACTGAACAAGTACTAAACATATCCAAACTTCTCCCTGGTTACCTCTCGGGTCATGTTACCAAAGCAGTGCGGAATTTGACCTGAAAGAAAATTAAAAGAAAGGTCTATCATGCTTAGTATGTTCATCTCACAAAATTGGTGAAGGATTGTGCCTTCAAAATGGTTACCTCTGAGAAGAATAACTCTCATGCTTGATAGATTGCCAATCCATTGAGGGATACTTCCAATGAACTTATTCCATCTAAGATCCAATGTCACCAAAGAGGAGCTATTATAAAATGCATACGTGAGCTCACCCTCCAATTGGTTATTGTTCNTATTGTTCAGATAGACATGACGTATTTGTGATGGATTGAAACAAGATGGGACTGAACCACATAACTTGTTCTCAGATAAATCTAAGAGGCTAAGATCATTGAGGTTGCAAATATCCTCCGGGATTGGACCCTCAAGCTAGTTGTTAGACATAGAAATTTGATACAATAATGTCTACCCACTGATGTAGGAATTCTGCCCGACAAACGGTTGTTACTAACATCTAACACTGCAAGAGGGATGGTAGACAAGCTCTTTGGAATGGTGCCTGAAAACTCATTGCAATCCAGATATAAATAGCTCAAGTCCAGTAGGTTGATAGATACTGGAAATATTTGTCCTTGCAATTTATTATCCGATAACTTGAGAAAAAACAGAGAAAAGCATCCCATGACTAATTCCTGTGGTATTTCACCTGACAAGTTATTGCTGGACAAGTCTATTAATTCTATAGATTTTAAATCACCGAAACTAGAAGGTAAACAACCGTCAAACATATTTGCTGACATGTTTAATACAACCAAGTTTAGAAAAATTGAAGTAATATTGGTTGGAACATGTCCATTGAACTCATTATTAGATACATCGAAAGTCTCCATGTTGGGATTGGTGCTTGTTGGCAACTTAAGAGGTCCTATAAAGCATTATCCCTCAGGCATAGTCCCCTAAGTCTTGTGTTGTCCTCCAACAACCAAGTTGGAAAATTCCGTCCTATGTTGTTATTTGAGAGATAAAGAATTCCCAAATTGGATTGATAGTAAAGAAAGTTGGGTAGTGATAGATGACCTCTTGAATTCGACATACTAAAAACCTCTAGTTGAAAATTGGGAACTAAATTTCCCAACTTGTTGTCATTTATTATTTCATTGTTTTCCAAAAATAAAAACTTAAAGTTTGAATGATTATAGAATGCCTTGAATGAAATTGGAACTTGAAAGTTGTTACTTGAAAGGGAGAGAGATTCAAGAAATGTGAGTTTCGAAAGTGGAGAGAAAGCAATATTTCCAGTGAAAGTATTACATGAAAGTTTAACCAATCTAAAAGATGTCATGTTTGCAACACATGAAAGAAGTGTTCCTTCATACTAATTCTGACTAAGATCTAACTCTTGGAGGTTTTTAAGCACACACAACCCTGCAAATCAAACGAATACAATTACTACTTCAAAACCCACCAATGAAATAGGGAATATGAAGGCTTTGCTTATAAACAAAAAAAAAATGCAAAAGAGCAATTTTTTTTAAAAGTGAATTTTTTATTTTTATTTTTTTATTGGTGAAAGACGGCAA